GGTGGCTCACGCTTGTAATCCCAGCACTTTGGGAGGCCGAGGCGGGTGGATCACGAGGTCAGGAAATCGAGACTATCCTGGCTAACATGGTGAAACCCCGTCTCTACTAAATATACAAAAAATTAGCCGGGTGTGGTGGCGAGCGCCTGTAGTCCCAGCTGCTCGGGAGGATGAGGCAGGAGAATGGCGTGAACCCAGGAGGCGGAGCTTGCAGTGAGCCAAGGTCGCGCAACTGCACTCCAGCGTGGGCGACAGAGCGAGACTCCATCTCAAAAAAAAGAAGAGTCCATGTTGCAGGAAACCCTTGGTCCTGATCAACAAGATGGTTGATTACCGTAGGTAAGACTGGGATTTGGTGGTTTGTAGTAGTTGAGGGAGGAAACCACTTAGAGATGAGAGTAGATCTGATAGAAAGTGCTTTGAACTGTTAAATGTCTGGGTTTGAATCCTGGCTGTATCACTGACCATCTTTGACATCTTAGGCAGATCATTTTCCCTCTCTGATTCTGCGGAGAGTTTTGTGTCTTCTGGTACAGCCAGGCCCTTGGCTTGTATCCTCCACTTAGCAGCTCTTTCATATGTTTACCCAACAAAAGTTGAGAGAGTGAAGCTGGTGTGCCAGCATAGGAATTAGGTGCTAGAGATCACACTGAAGACACATGGTTCCTGCCTTGCCATCTGTGTTACTGCAGCCATGGTGGAATCTTTTCAGTAGCAAACCTCTAGAACTTTTCTGCCTGGATAGTCCACATTCATTGCTCTTAAAATTTGAGAGCAGACTCTGTTTCTAGGAGATAGTAGACTTGAGTTCTCTACAGGATAACCTTTTAGACTAAGAGAACCAGATCTTTCTTGACCCTTCAGATTTTGAAAGCTGCTAATCCTACTCAGTTTTTAAGTCTCATTCTCATTTTCCCCTTTAGGAGTTCCAGCTCTGTCCCTCACAAGCAGCGTAAGTGTGAGCAAGTGAATTAACATCTTTGGGCCTTAGTTTATTTGTGAAATAGGGATGACTATGATTCCCACCTCATGAGTTAGGAGGATTAAATGAGATCATTCCTCTTAGCACAGTATCTGCCATGTAGTATACAATAAATGGAATAAAATGATTGCATTTTCCACGTGTCTTGGAGAGCACTGGAGGCCAGCTCCTCTCCACCCATTGCCCAGACTTGAGCATCTCAGAGAAAGAAGCCACCTTTCATTGTATTCATCTCTGTGTCTACAGCCAGCCCCTGCCTGGTGAATAGTGGATGCTTAATAGTATTGATTTATGACCTGAAGATGGTGATGGTGATGATGATGTAACCTATCTCCTAATATTAAGGAAGGTAAAATAAGAAAATGTATGTGAAACTACGCTTTTGTAAATGGAAAAACATAACACAGTGTACGTCCCTCCACTAAGGTATTTATCACGGTGTACTGTTCTTTATTTGTTTGCCTGTCTTTTCTACTCATAGTCCATGCACTTCTCCAAAGTGGAGACTGCATCTTATCTCTAGTCCTGCTCCAGCCCCTGTCTGATAGCCTACACAAAGTAGGCACTCAGGTAGTTTAATTAAATGCAAATGGCATACAAAGGCAAAGAACTGTGAAGCTCTTATTAGGATAGGGAAAGAGGGCTGGTAAATATGACTGGTCCTTCCTTCCTTCCTGGTGCTACTTTTACATAAAACTGTTTCTGAAATAAACCTTCCTAGGGGAGTGATGAAATTGGCTGAGAGAAAAGGTGAGGGTCAGGAATAACAGTTTCATTATCTGAGCAACTGGACATAGTGGCTGGCACTTGGGCATATTGTCACAAATCTTTGTGTTGGGATTAATGCCACTAACCTGTAGCGATGGGGTTCCATCTCTGATCATTATCAGCTAAAAATCGTCAAAATGTTTGTCATGCTTCAGGTGCCCTGGCTGCAGAGTTGTGCCAACTTGATGCAGATTGGGGCACCTCTCCCACTACTGGGCTGTTTGGGCCAGTATTTTAAGGTTCTGGGAAGTATGGAAGTACTGACTGGGCAACATGGGAAGGTAAGAAGTGCCTCAGTGAGGTCCTTGCTTCTGTAACTTCTCAGAGGGTCTTTTCTCAGAAGCTTCTCTTTTGCATCCTCAGTGGCTCAAGTGAATATGCCAGTGTGCAGGCTCATTGTTACAACAGCTCCTCATGTTGTGGAGAAAGGGCCCCTGAAAAGTCATGTTTTGAGACTGGCCCTTGAAACTGCCTCTTCTTGGTCTTGGGAAGAAGGCTTGGCTGATAAGCTAGCATTATCAGAGATATGTTTATAATAGGCCAAATTTGATGTGTCCTGGGCCTTGGGTCTAGGCCCCCTGAGAATTTCAGGGACCTACCCCCTTCCTTTTTTTTTTGTGCATGGATGCGAGTCTGGCTTGTTCTTCCTCTCTGGGAGCATGGCTCTGAGTCTCAGCACTTAGTTGGCCCCATTTCCCTCTGGGTGAGGAAGCGAACATCAGGAAAGTCTGAACATTGAGCTGCAGTATTTGCTGTTATTTGCTGCAATGGGGAAACCCAAAGGTCAGGTTTCTAGAGAGTGTGCTGGGGATGCTGACTTGGTGCTGGTCAGAGTGGAAGCTGAAGCACATAGTATTTTATAATAAATACTAATGAAATCCTAGATCTATAATAGCATTTCGGATGTCTAAAACAAACCATGTGCTTGTAAAAAAGTGGAAAGAGATCAACTTTAAGCCATAAATTCTTGGTAATAGAGGGTTTTTTTCTATTTATGTTTGATAGATATTTTTATTTCCAGAGGAATGTCAACTCCTAATTTCATAATGTATCATGGGCTTAAGAAAATTGAATTTAATAAGAAGCCAAAGATGAATGACATCCTTAAAGGTCCCAACACTTGTCTTTATTAGCAGGACAAACTGTAGGTCTCCAAACACTGCTGCTCTCCAAATGAAAGTTTAAATGAAAAGTACAGTTGTGTCACAGGTTAAATTTCATTGTGGGCCCAGCTAACATTGTTAGTGAGGAGCTGGCTGTATTTGTTTCCTTAGACACCAGGGCAGCCAAACTCACCAGGCTATAGAGCTCTTTCTGTTGAGGAAGTGTTTCTTCTACTTAGTGGGAGAGGAAGGACACATCAGAAAAATCAGGAGTCAGATGAGCCTGACTCATGGGCCACACCTCAGAGTTGGCTCTTGGAAATCCTGGATACCTGATTTTTTGCAGGGGGACCAATGTGTGTTTTTTTGGTGTGTGTTCAATTTTGTTATTCAGTTCCAAACCCCCGTTTACTCTGTATGTAATGCTTCATGGGGAACAGAAGGTCCAGGGAATTGGGAAATGAGTGTTCCCCTCTCTTCACCTTGAGAGGAGAGGTATCACCTGGTCTAAGCAGCAGCCTGGGCCTCCCTTCTCTCCCCTCTGCCTCAGCCTTGCAGCCATTTTGCCCTTTCTATCTCTGGGAGTAAGATCCTGTCAGCTTCCTCATCTTTGGAGATCAGCCCACGGAGACAAGGCAACCAGAATCTTTGAATCTCTCTAGCATGAAATCTGACGGACTTGATTTGGTTTTCGGTCCTGCTGTTATGTGTTGGATTGAAATAGATGCTTTAAAAACAAGCCCAATATTAGTGGGTATGTTTTGCGGGGAGGATACCTGACTTTCCTGGGACATCAAGGAGATTGACCATTTCTCCTTGTGTTTTCCCAGCCATTCATTTCCTAAGTGCAGTCAGGTGTCATCTGTTTCGTGTTGCTTCTCCAGGCTGTCTCTGGAGAGAACCAGTTTACTTCGATTTTAATGATACTGGAAAGGTCTTCTCCAGAATGAAGGACCCGGGGAAGGGGTGCTGCTGGAGCTATTGGGGCCACTGAATGGGCAGAGCCCCCTTTCTTTCTCTCTGCAGTGGAGGCCCTTTCCACATGCTAATTTTTCTCAGAGAATTTTGCTTTTATTTATTTTTTTTATTATTTCCTATTTGTCTCTTCCAGATGTTTTCAGGGCAGTTTTTTTGTGTGTGTGTTGTAAACTAATTCCATTCATGTTTTAAAAATTTATGAAAGCGCTAATAAAAATGTCAAAGTGGTAAAAATGTTAGCTTTTCCTCTGCTTTGATTAAATTTTGCAAACTGTTTTTGAATATTAAAAAGCAATAATTTTTTTTATTCTCTCTCCTTGCTTTCCCTCTTCTCTCTGGTACGCATGTGCTCTCTCCTGCCCTCTCCCCCCTCTAGTGTGTTCCTCCCTTCCCAGGAGCGATGTATGAGGCGTGCTGCACAGCCAGCGTTCTGCAAGCCTGTTTGCACACCAGGACCTTGGTGCTGTGCATCTCTATTAAATAGCGGAGACAAATTAATCTTAGAGACTCCAAACAAATTGTCACTCCTCCTCCTTCTCTTCCATTATGTTTCAGTGGACTGGGAAGGGCTGGCTAAGCAATTGGGCTGGCGGTGTAGGGGGAGTGTGTACTGCCTGAAAGAAAGGTGGGAGGTGCTAGCTCCTGTTACTGTTACTCACTTTTCTCCTCCTCTTTGGGATCCCCTTTGGCTTTTTTATCTTTTTAAAAAATTAAGAAATAATGAAGAAACTTACCAGCTTGGTTCAAACTTCATACAAGGAAATCTACGCATTGGTCTGATGGCTGGTTGTCTATATGGCAGGAGATCAGACCCATTTCAGGACAGGGACCTGGGCAAGAGAAAGAAGGGGGTATTCTTAGGGGCTCGAGTTAGCAAGCCTCTGCTAGAGAACCAGTTGGAGAAACTGGGGCAGATGGCACCACTGTCTTCCTTCCTGTTTCCAGAAACAGTGGGGTTGAGGGCTGTGTCCGGTCCCTGGAACCTATGAGGATATTAGCAGTGGGAGGGTTAGGATTGTAACTGCTGGTGCCGTTTCACTCAATCTTGGGTTTGGCCTGGCAGGAGCTAATGAACCCAAAACACTCATTTTTTGTTGACTTGGAGCTACTGTTGGAAACGGTCGATTACAATAACTTATTTTTCCTTTTCTGTATCTTTGGCACTCCAGGAAATCATCGAGTTCCCCATCTTGAAGCTAAATGGCCGGACCATGGAGATTGAGTCTACCTTTCACATGTATGTCCAGCCTGTAGTCCATCCACAGCTTACCCCATTCTGTACAGAGGTAAGAGCCCTAGAAGTGGGCAGCAAGGGCTGCTGGGAGGGGAATTTTGGAATCCTTGGTGCTCTATATAGGCCACTTAGAGAAAGCATAGGGATTATCAGTGCTTAAGGCAAGTGCGCACTGGACCTAGCAGTTAGGTTTTATAAAGTCTGACGCTCCACTCAGGTCACTGTTGTTACTGGGGACCCAGGGAGAGCAGTGGCTTAGTCTACCCCTGCTTCCCCAGCATCCCTTCTTGGTGACCGGCACTTGGAGACCAGGAGCAGAATGGCACTTCTGGGGTTCAAGTTCTTTCCAGTTCAATTTCCCTTAGGGCCCCTGGGCAAGAGGTAAAGATTTCAGCCACTTGCAAGGCAGGGTTATGTTCAGGCCTTCTTAGCTTTCTGGCATTGTTACTCTCTCCTCCTGTAAAGTGGCCCTGCATGAAGCGTAGGTTGTTTGTCGGAGGTACATTCTGTCACTGAGGGAAGAGAAGAGTGGTCTGAGTGAAGCATAAGGCCTGACTGGCCAAGGCTGAAATCTCCTTATCCTAGGCGGGTACTGTACTTGGCCTCCTTGTCAGCAGGGAGGTATTGATCCCATTTTACAGGTTGTGAAACTGGGCCTAACTGAGATTTTGATGCTTGCTGGAGGCTCAAAAGAGCCATTGGCAGAGGGGAGGAGCCCCTGCAAGTTCTAGCTCCCAGAACTGTGTGAAGCCTTCTGTGGCTACTTTTCCCTGTGACATGTCATGTAATGCACTCAGTGGTGGCCAACAGGCTGTGGTGCAATCGGGTTAAGAATGTGTGGTAGCAGGGATGATGAGAATCTTTTAAGAGTCTGGGGCTGAGGTACATTAGAGACTTTGTGCCTTCATTTAGACACCTGTCTGCTACATGTGAATGAAATAGGTGGAAAGGGGTTCTTGAGTTATCCCAAAAAATCTCCTTGGTGAGAAGGCTGGGAATGAGCGTGTCTGACCCTGGTAGGCCCTGAGGCTGACTTAGCCCAGATATGAGGCCTCGAAATTGCTCTGAATTCGATGCCAGTGTTTGCCAACTGACCCAGGTGGGGCTTTTGCTGTAGGCATCTATCTGCCAAGGTGCCTAGCCTCTTAAGCCTTTTGTTACTCCAACTAATGATGTTGCGTTCTGGTTCGCTCCTTCCTCTACTGGGTTTTCCCCTTTCCCCTGGGATTTACCTATACCACCAGGGGGCGCTAATCTGACTTTTCTGCCCCATTTGAAAAATCACCATTTTAATGATGATGAAAATCCCCTTGCTTATGGGAAGGGAAGGAAAGACTTCTTTAAGCCAGCCAGTTCCCTGATCCCTCCACTGGCCTGAAAGGCTAATGTCCTCTTGTCCTTACATAGATAAGCAGGCCCAAATTTTGGTAAGTTTGCTACCTGTTTAGGAATGGAACAGAATTCTGCTGGAGCTGGACCCTGGGCAGGAGTGGATGCTTGAGAGTATAGGAAGAAGAGGGACTTCTTTTAGAGTGAGGCTGCTGCTGCTACTTTTTGTGGGGATGGGAGGAGGGATTGTGAGGCTATGATGAACAGTTTCTTCTTTCTAGAAAGCTTCACCCAAGGACGCACGTACATAATTTGGAGGGGAGTAGGAGTGGTGGTTGGGATCCTTATGAAGCCTGTTCTAAAAGTGAAAATGTGGTTGTTCTGTAGGCACTGGGTCTGCCATTTTGTCTCAGGTTTCCAGAGCTCAAAACTCGCCATGATCTTGTCCGTCCCTTTTTGACCAGCCTCATCTCTCTCTGCTTCGTCTCCCACCTAGCTCCCCTCACCCAGAGGTTGCCCTCTTATAGTCTGTCTTTTCACATGATGGTCCTTCTGCCTGCACAGAGTTCCCACTCTCCCTGCCAACTCCTGCTTGACCTCCAGGACTCTGCTTAGGGTCACCTTCCCTGATCCTCAGATTGAGTTGTGCTTATTCCAACATAGAACTGATCAGATAATTTATACTATAATTATTTATCTCTCTCTTCACTAGACTATAAGTTCTTTGAGGGAAGAAACTAGACCTGATCCGTCTCCATCCCATCATTAGGGTCTGCTACCAAGTAGACACTTGATAGGTGTCCCTTAAATGAATGAATATTGTCAAGAAGTTATTTTCTGTCTCTCCCAAAAACAACTGTACTGCTAACTTGTTATTTTGAGTAAGTGAAGTCTTATTTGGAAAACCTCAGATCATATAAATTTTGCCCTGTCTCCATACCAGATGGAATTGTATCTCCAAGAGGCATAGACACAGGATGGGGACTGTCATTCTGAGACCTCATCCAATCTGGCAGTTGGTGCCTTTTGCGGGTAGGGATGGAGGTCATTCCAACCAGAGGAAATCTCTCATTAGTAAGTGTGAGGAACAACCCCAAACCTCCAGATTATACTTAAGTAGTTCCTCTGGCAGGATTTTCTCTCTTGTGCACAAGAAGTTCTTAACCCCAGCATATATGTGTGTGTGTGTGTGTGTGTGTGTGTGTGTGCGCGCGTGCGCGCGCACACGCACATGCATATGACGTGGACATACATGGGCACATGCTTGTGTGGGGAGAGAAGCAGGCTCAGTACTGGACAGTAGGAAAAAGGATTCCACTTTGAACAAGTCTCTAGCACACACAGAGAGACTCTTACTTTTATTGCTTCTTATTAGGAAAGTGTTAGTACCCTTCTTGAGGTCCTTTTTTAGTTTCAGTTGAGAGTTGGCCTGGAGACATGGTTCTGACAGAGATAGGATGGGATGTGTTTCATTCCTTCCCAAGCCGTTTCCCTGTGACCTCTGGAATCTGCTCCAGCTCATCAAGTCTCTGTCTCTAGCAGCTGGGCTGCTGCACAGCCCCTAACCATGTCTTCTTTTTGTTGTTGTTATCATGAAAAAAACTAGAGAAATACTCATTTTGCTAAATGCAGTAAAGGGCTTTGTCTTGCACCTGTACTTATAAAGGGTGAGATTTATTGGTCTCTTTGTCTGAGGAGAAAGAGTGGGTCTGATTATCAGATTGCACACCAGAGACAAGTGCTTATGTAATCAACAAACTGTCTTGGTGTCAGAATACGATTGTGTTGGAGATAAACTGTGAAAGGAGAAAGTGCTGGATGCTGACGTGCTATTGGCACTGAGTTTCCTGGGCTGCTTCCTGTAGTTGCTAGTGTTTATGATGAAGCCAGCTCATTCCTGGACAAAGCCCTTGTGAGGGTAGGGGATCTCAGTAACCAGCCATGTTATCAGTCAGGGTCAAAAGCCCCTTGCCTTGTGGTTTCTGAGTCTGGAGAAGTGGGAGTTAATCTGTAATCCCTCAGTGAAAGGAGCCACAGAGCACACATTAATTCTTCCTCTCACCTCTCCTGCTTTAAGTGGCTAAGGTCTCTGAGCTCTGTTTAGCCTGTGAATCCTGGTTCTTAGCTTAATAATACTTGGCTTTGCTCTAGTACCTTTCGTTGTGAGGAGTGAAAGCTTTTTACAAACATGTATTAACCCAAGTGGGACTGGGCTTAAACTGTGACATGAAGGATTTAAGTTAGGCCTAAGATAGAACTTCCCAGTATTAATTTAACAGAATTGTCTCGTTCCCTCATAGCATCCTGTATAAGCCTTACAGGTGTTCTTATCAGGTAGACGAACTAATTTTTACTAAAAAAAAAAAAAAGATGGGGTCTCTCTATGTTGCCTAGGCTGGTTTCAAATTCATGGGCTCAAGCAGTCCTCCTGCCTTAGCCTCCCAAAGGGCTGGGATTGCCCACCGAGCCACCACGCCCAGCCCAGAACTAACTTTAATTTCATCCCTTCTTTGTCCAGTGCCTTGGCAGAGCTGATACGGGGTGGTCCATCCTTGGAGGGATTAATACAGGGGCCTGAGGCCTTCCCTGAGAAGGCTTTGTCTAGCTGAGCCAACTGCTCAAGCCCCTGTGTCTCTGGGGGCTAAATGCAAATCCTTGAGGAACTCAGCTGTGAGCCGTGCTTTACTGGGCCACAAATGAAAATGGCTGTTGTCTGGGAAGCATAGCGAGAGAAGGAGCTTACCTCACTAGGCTCTTCCCAGGCTGATGATTCTAGGATCACTGAGCACTGGAGTGGAGTTTGTGAAAGCCTCAGGATGCTGGAGCTCCATTTCCCCAGCTCCTGGTGGGAGAGTTGGGCTTAGTCTGCAGTGAGGCATCCTGCAGCAGAACCCCGGAGCAGCACTCTGGTTTTCCATTTTGATGTAGTGATTTTCTTGCCCCACATCAGTGATTTTCCTGGGGCCCAGGGCAGGGGCTTATGGGGTACACAGGTGCTGACCTAAACCTTATCTCCAGGGAGGGAGGGCTCTTGGCAAGGGTACATTGCTTTCCTGTGTGAGTGAGACTTTCTTGAAGCCCTTGGCATTCAGCTCATTTGAGAGACTGTTGGTGGGAGCCAAGAGAAGAAGTGGACCTTACCTTGCCCCCTGAAACTCAGACCAGACACAAGACTAACATTTGGACCCTGGAGCTTCCTAAGAAGTGAGAGTGGCTGTGGTCCGCCTTTTCCAGGATGGTCCTGATCTTGAGCCTCAGCTCCAGGCTTGAAGGTGTGTCTAAGCCCTAGGCTTAACAGGAGAGAAGCTGGACCAGAACGGGCAGCGGTGGGCCTGTGGGTGTCTGTCACTAATCTGGGGTTGGTAATAAGCCTCCTCCTGACTCTCTTTGGCCCCTTCATGACTGAGGCAAAACAGGGTATCTGCTTACTCAGTTTGTGGCTCTGGAAGGTGTACAGGCTCTGGGTACTAGTTGGGGCTGGGCGTAGGAGGGGCTGTCGAGAATGCGTATTCCATGAGGGCAGAGTTTTTACATTTTTCTTCACTGCCGGATCCCTAGTTCCTGTAATGTGGCCCAGCCCGCAGCAGACTTTCTATGAATAGTTATTGACTAAATAAAAGGAGGAGTCCTTTGTACTCCAAGATTATTGAAGCTGCTGACCGAGGGCACTCCCCCACCCCCAGCCCCCCAGCCCTTAGTGGACCATCTTTTCTTCTCTTTGACTCAGGCCCTCCCTCTGCTGGGCAGTTCTTTGGTCTTCCAAGCAAGGAAAGGGTGTGGAGGTGCCAGCCGGGTGGGCATGCTGTGGGTTAAAGCTTTGCGAAGCAACAGTGTAGTTAATCTTTCTAATTTATTTTCCTTTTAGACCATGGGAAGTCTGTAGGCAGCAGCTGTTACCCAATTAAAATACAGATTAATATAAAAACAGTTTCTGGAATATAAAATAGAGTGGCTGTGTCCTTACACTTCCTTAAAATACCACCTAATAATGACTTGATGAACTACAGAAACCCACCTAGAGGAGCTCAGCGTTTTTAAAATGAAAATTTCTCCCTAAAAGGTGTATATTACCATTCCATGTAAGTCACCATGAGAAAATAACCTTCCCACTTAGAGCCAGAGATTTCTGTGCATTGGGTATTTGGTATTCATTAAGTATAATTATAGTTTAATTGGAGTTTAATCTCCCCCCCCCAACACACTTTAAAAAAAAGAAGTTTCCAAGCAAGTCTGAGATACTGCTCTTTCTGAAAGTAGCCAGGGACATGCCGAGGGTGGTGATTTCCAGTTGGTGTCCAGGACATGGGGGCCTTATGCCCTCAGATCCTTGTTAAGTAGTCTGTCCCCAGTCTGTGCCTGAGAGATATTTTTACTTTAAACCAAACCAAAACAAAGGAAAACAACAAGCTTGTTTGAACCCAGGCATGACCTAGGTGGAGCATAGGCCTGAGTCAGAAATTCTCTAGGTCATAGTCTGAACATTAGGCCTTTTTGTCTTAGTTTCCCCATCAGTTAAAGGTGACTCTGTCTCTTGCTTGGCTAGTTCATATCGATGACCCACGTATGCAGGGTGAAGGATAGGAGCCTGTGGGACTTCATAGATGTTAGGGAAGGTGTTAGGGAGAGTGTGGCAGGGGGCAGTGCTGGATACCAAGGCTCAGAGAAGGGGTGGACTTGAAGCCAAGTGTGCCTGTCCTGTATGAGAACTCCCCAAGTTTTACAGGAACTTCTGTGAAGCTAGGAGCTGAATTTACTTGAAACTGTAATTGTGGGAAGTTATTGAGCCTATTGAATATAAAAGACATGTAACATCAATTTGTTTGCAAGCTGAAAGCTGAAACAGATGTGAGAACATGCCTTGTGGTCAGTGTGTGTATGTGTACACCCATCTCAGGGCAGGATTTTATGGGAGAAGCTCACATTGTGTCCTGCGTCCTAGGTCTTTATTCTCAAGTCTTCTAGTTGGGCTTTGAACCTAAAGCAGTGCCAGATCAGAGCCCTTTACAGCAGAAGGAGAAAAACAGAAAGGAAAGGGTTCTGTTCAGCCTTGAGTCCCTTCACCCTGGTTTTCTACCCATCAGTTATTTCTCTTTCCTTTCAGCTCACCGGGATTATTCAAGCCATGGTGGATGGTCAGCCAAGCCTGCAGCAAGTGCTGGAGGTAGGTTGAGTGACCTTTAATTCCTGACCTCTGACCCCTTCCTGCTGCCTTTCTCTCCCTCCCCTCCTGAGAATGTAGCTGTGTAATTTGACTATGATTATGGCTTGATTAGAATAACATTTGCTGTCACATCAGTGACATGCTGTTGAGAGTATTGAACCATTGATCTGTCATCTCCAGCTGTTCCCGTCAGGGTTTCTGACAAGATGTCCCAGTGCTGCCAGGAGTTGGGCAGAGGGGCCCCCACCCCTTCCTGGCCTATGGCCCTGTGCTGGCTGGCTCCGGGGTAGCCTGTGCTGGGTGTGCTGGGGAGTAGGGGAGCTGAGCTTGGTACTGTGGGACTAGCCCCGGGGACTGGAGGTGTTTTTGTTTAGCTTTAGTGTTGGCTTCTTGTGGCATGTGAGCACTTCATTAACTCACCCAGAACTCCCCATCGATGGCTTTTGTTTGCTGAGAGCTCCTCCAGGAGCTGTGGCTGGGCCCGCCTGCCCCACTGCAGCTTGCCGCTGGATGCTTTGTGCCTGTCGGGTGCAGAGGCTGCACTGGGTAATGATTCCTAATCAGAATAATTACAACAATTGCCTATGTGAGGGAAATCAAATTAAAGACTTTAAAACCCTTGGCAGAGACCACACTTCCAGGATGTTCTCCTCGGGGAGCTAGAAAAGGTTAAGATGCTGTTTCTTGCACTGTAGCCCGAGGGAATAAGGAAGGGCAGTGCTTGGTCTTAGCTTGTCTCCCACCCTCCTCTGGCCTGGAGGTTTTCACAGGGGGAGAAGGTCCCCCTTCCATGTCTTTCTCTATGGGCGGGGTGAGGGGAGAAGAGAAAAAGCCTGTGGATCTCATTAGGTGCTTTATTTATTTTTTAAGACCAATAAAGCCAAAGCTCAGACCTTAATCAAAGCGTAGGAGAAAGCAGAATATCTGCAAGAATAGCACGGCACATCTACACTGGAGGTGTGCAGCCTAGAGGAAGTAGCGTAGTGGCAGGGAGCAGGGCAAGATATCTTTTTTTTAGCCAGGAGATCCTGTCCCATGCAGGAGAGAGATGCAGATTGAATTTCGTGGGGCCCCCCCAAGGATGGAACCAGGGTCAGAGAGGCAAGTTTAGGCTCACCTCAGTGGCAGAGGGTATTTCCTGTCCCTGGGAGTGTGGGAACCCAGGCTGTGACCAGTCTGATTGGGGGTCAGAGTTTGGGCACCTGCAGTAGATTGGGAGAAGATAAGATGAGCTCTGAGATGCTTCCCACATTGACCATCTTTTTTTGAAGAGATTCATTCCTATGACCAAGGGAGCTCCTTAGCATGGACTGCTCCCCATTAAAACAGACTCAAGGAGACAGAGGGAACTCATTCTTTCCTCTGTCCTGGCCACCATCCCCTGCCAGGGCCTGGCTCCTGAGGGATGCCAGAAGACAGGTACCTTTTTCCTGGAACATCTGTAGCTGGGATCCTGGAGGAAGATACTTGCTCTGGGCCAGCACCAAACCAGGACTGTCGAGGTTATGGGTTTTTTTTCTCAGTGGCCCCTGTCAAGGAGGAGATGTGATCTTGAGGAGGCAACCCCTGCTAACTCTAGGCCAGCCCTGGAGCAGGGTGCTCAAAGAATTCTGAGTCTCACCCAGGAAGCTACTTTCTGCTACTACATGCTTTGTGGGTAAGGGGGGAAAATTCTTGGTATCAGCTTGAAGAGAGTTTCTGGCTGGACTAGGAGACCAGACTGGACTCTGCTTCATCTCATTAGTCCTGAGATGTTTATGGAGATAAAGAGTTCATTTCTTGTCCGAACCAAGGCCCTTAGCAGGCAGCCAGCTAGATGTTTACCTGACTCGTGGTAAAAGGTGCTCACTAAATAGCTGCTGTGCAAGCGAATGGCCTGGGTCCTAAGCTTCCAGGGACCCCAGTGAGTGTTGAGTGCTTCCTGTGATAAGGGCCCAGTTTTGCTGAGTGTGGCCTCCTGTTGTGTCTTGCTCTCTCTTTCACTGTGCAGGTGTTGGGGCATCGGGGAGCCCCTCTAATATGTGGGGCACTTAACTTGGGGATATAAAACAGTGAGCTTGGGGGAGGTTATGCTGATTTAGGGAGCCCTAGTTTCACCTTACCTCTTTTCTTAGGTGACCCTGGGGAAAGGATTCATGCACGTGTGTGTGTGCGCGCGTGTGTTCGTGCACGCGTGTGTGTGTGTGCGCGTGTGTGTGTGCACACGCACATGCCTGTACATGCAAGGAGTTGGGCCAGAGTAACTGAGGAGACAGATCATTCAGCAGTAGAGGATCCAGAATTTATCTTTTGGGAAGATTCTTTGGCTGAGGAGGATTCTGTGGTGTACAGACTGTAAAGAGCGTTTATAGAGACCACATGGTCTGCATAGTCTGGCACCGGGGAGCAACTCTGACATTCTGGTTGATAGGGCTGCTATAGCCGCGGAACTAGGTAGGATCCTTGGCCTTAGTCAAGGATGACTTTAGCGTGGGCCGGGCCTCTGGCATCACAGAGGTATCCAGGGAGCCAGCCTATACCTGCTAGAAGTAATCCTACTTAAGATACTTAAAGATATCCATGGACTCTCAATTTCTTGCTGAGCACACGAGGCCCTTTACAGTCTGGCCTAACTTAGTCCTCCAGCCTCTGTCCTTTCTTTCTATATACTGTGGACTTCAGTCACCCTAAACTTCTACCTACTCATGTTTTCAGTCAACCAGCAAATATCTCGAGTAGATCCTGTGCTGGGTGAGAGATTAAGGTAGTGAGTAAGGCAGAGTTCCTGCCTTCGTGGTGCTTATATTCTCAGGGAAGGCAGACATTTAACAGATAATTGCTTCAAATACAAAATTATTGCATATGTACCTTTGCCTCTACCTGTAGTATCCTCTACTATGTTCCACCATGTCAGGTTCCTACTTCAGTTATCTTCTTTGAGAAGCCTTTTCTGACTCCTTTCCCTGTGAAAGGTAGGGCTAGCCACTTCCTCTTCTTGGTCCTGTAGCACTGTGGTCACGTCTCCAGTGCTGGATCTGTTGTATTATGATGATCTGCCTTTCTCCCCTTCTCAGCCTACTGCCTGTTTTGTGGTAGGTACTTAAAACATTATCACATTTAATTCTCAGAACAGGCCGGGCCCGGTGGCTCAAGCCTGTAATCCCAGCACTTTGGGAGGCCGAGACGGGCGGATCACAAGGTCAGGAGATCGAGACCATCCTGGCTAACATGGTGAAACCCCGTCTCTACTAAAAATACAAAAAAACTAGCCGGGCAAGGTGGCAGGCGCCTGTAGTCCCAGCTACTTGGGAGGCTGAGGCAGGAGAATGGCGTAAAAACCCGGGAGGCGGAGCTTGCAGTGAGCTGAGATCCGGCCACTGCACTCCAGCCTGGGCGACAGAGCGAGACTCCGTCTCAAAAAAAAAAAAAGAAAAAAAAAAATTCTCAGAACAACTCTGTGTAAGGTTTTATAGATGAAGGAAACTGAGGTTCAGAGAGGTTACATGACTTTTAAATTACTCTCCATCAGTGACACAGCCAGGATATAGAATAGCCAAGGGTTGGAATCCAGATGTATCTGACTTCCAATCCTGCATTTTTAACGACTATGTGAGATAGCCTTAAAAAATAATCTCTTGCATGGGTAGAAGCAGTGGTGTGACTCCCTCTCCATGCCTGGGGTCTTCTGAAAAATAGGCAGTGCTTCATGAATTCTTTTTATTTATTATTTATTTATTTTTTACAGAGTCTCGCTCTGTCACCTAGGCTGGAGTACAGTGGTGTGATCTCAGCTCACTGCAACCTCCACCTCCCAGGCTCAAGCAATTCTTCTGCCTCAGCCTCGCAAGTAGCTGGGATTACAGGAGTGCACCACCACACCCAACTAATTTTTTTATTTTTAGTACAGATGGGGTTTTGCCATGTTAGCCAGGCAGATCTCAAATTCCTGGCCTCAAGTGATCTGCCTGCCTCAGCCTCCCAAAGTGCTGGGATTACAGGCCTGAGCCACCACACCCAGTCTTGAATTGTTTATGATATTTCTCTTGTTGTATACTGATTTTAGTATTTGAATTTCCAGTGTGAGCACAAATAAATGGATCAAAGGGTTGAAGGGAAAGAAGGATTTAGAGTGTTTAGGAGCAGTTTTTCTCCCTGTGTAGAAATTGAGCTCAGCCTTCAAAATATTCTGCTGAATTTGAATCCTCAACTATGAAGAAGAGAAATACGAAGTTGGGGGCCAGTTTTGAACTTTTAGCAGCTGGAGCAGGCAGCACTATCCCAGGTATCAGGATGGGGCTCCAGTCCAGTAAAGGGGACTCTTAAGGTGAAAATTTTCGTCACCTTCATTTGATGAATAACCAAATTTGTAAGTTTGGTTGATAAACATTTGGTAGAAGAGTAAAACAAATAAATGAATGAGTGAAGCTGTGGGTTGGAGCCCCTGTTTGGGGCCTCCTTCTACTGTGTTCTCATGCCCCAGGACAACAACCTGTCTATGCTGGGCCAGGGGACCAATGAGAGGAACAGCCAAGTCAGAGCAAGGTATTTGAACTGACCTGCTGGGATCTGGAGCAGGCTGCTAGGCAATAGGCGAGTGTAGGGTCTCCCTCCGGCTACACACTCGGGCTGCGGAATCTTCCTAAGGGGTTGTCTTCCAAATACCTCCGTGGTTCTCAGCCAAGCCTGAGAGCCCACAGCGGGGGCCATAGTTGGATAAGATTACAATTTTCTCCTGCTCTGATTACAAGCAGCTTATCTGTGTTTCGCTGTTGTGGCTCTTCACAGGTTCAGGGAAAAAAAAGGAAAATCTCATTTGTTCTTGTGTACTTTTCAGAGGGTCGATGAGTGGATGGCGAAGGAAGGCCTCTTAGATCCAAACGTCAAGTCAATTTTTGTCACCTGTGGAGACTGGGACTTAAAAGTCATGTGAGTATGAGAAGGGCTACTTTGCTGGCAGAGCTTGGAATCTGTGGGACCAGGTCTTGCCTTTTGGAGGCTTAAATGTCTACAAGGCAGCTGGGTCAGCGATTCTTCAGGTCTCTGAGGCTGCCAGGGATAGAAGAGGGTTGGGAGCCCTGCCTTCTGCCTCTCTGGAGCAGGGTGTGGGGAAGTCAAGGGCCTGCCTGGACAGTTGGGGCCTTCCCGCCTTTGCCAGGTCTCACTGCTCATGACAGCCCTTCCAATTGCTGGGGCTGTGTGTTACTGCCCTGGAAGGGAGGAGTTAAAAGAGTGTCTTGGAAAAAAAAAAAAATTAAGCCAAATACCATATTTATTATGTAATGAAATATAGTAACTTATTTATCAACTACATAAAGTAGGCATTATTATTCTTCCTATTTTATAGCTGAGGAAGTAAAGGTACAGAAAGGTTAAGTAATTTACTGAAGGACACACAGAGCCAGGATTCAAACTCAGGTCCTTGCTCTTAACTATTATACTATGCTGCCTCTTTATCTGGCCTGCAGGACCCTGGTGATCCAACTAGGAGCCCAGTGGTGGGATGAGAGAGGGCTGCTCTGGGAGCTGCCCATGTCACCAGCCTCCTCTTTCCTCCTTTGTCCCCACTGCTTATTTTACCTTTGTCTCCTGATCCTGTCCCGGTTATGGAAGACAGAATCAGTTTCTTTGCTGGGCTGACACTTGTGCATCTTGTCTGCCCTCATGAATACATGGCTTCAGATGGCCCCCAGGGAACTGAAGTGGGATGGAGGTGGTGGGGGCATTGTTTGCTGAGGAGTCATAGAATCTATTACCTCTGTGTTCATGGTGACTGAAGGTAGCAACAGGTATTCCGTGTGTGTGTGTGTTTGAACTTTTGAGCATAAAGTGGGATGTTTGTGAGGTGTGTGGTGTAGTGGCTCTGCAGTAACATTTTCTACCACATCAGGTGTCATCTCCTCACCAAGGCCCTTTGTAAGCCTTTTGGTTGCTGGACATTGAGGTGAAGTTATGTACCCAGGTGGGTGTCAAGCCTGCTATTGGACCCCAACTTTCTAGGTGAGACAGGAGGAAGAAAAGGCCCCAAATCACATGAGCACACACAGACCTCATCTCTCATACCCTTTAGGTGTGTACACACACTGACTGCACCCCTCTTGGTTTACTCCAGAAGGTCTCCATATTCCCATGTGACACCTCTTTGTCAGGGAAATTATACAGGCTGGAATTAGAAGCAAATATGACTCAGAAGGAGTCCATGGAGAAGGAGTGGAGGAAGAAGGCTCTTCTTGTTAATGGCGTCCTGGGCAGCTTTGAGTCCTTAAAGCGAGGAAGGGACTTGACGTGGATCTCTGTAGCCCAAGAGAAGCTACTCAAGGTGGGACCAGTTTCAGGCTGATACCCAGAATTCTGGGATTCATATGGCCCAGGAGGAAGGCCCTTTGGTCCAGTCCAGAGTTCTACTTCCTCCAGGTAGCCTCCCCAGGACTGCCTTCATCCAGTGTTGCTCTCTCTTTGGCATCTTCACCTTCCAAACACATGCATTTCAGAATCTTCTACTTTAACTATGCATGATGTGTACATATGTGTGTATATGAAAACTTTCCCGTACATGAGGTTGGAGACTATAAACTTGGAGTTGATCTCCCCATGAGATGGAGAGGGAATTTCAGAGGGTGCTGTCTTCTTTTGGTCTGGCCTGTTCTGTAGCACAGTGGACCCTGGACAGGTGTTAGTGACTCAGGAGATTGCCCTGCCTCTTCCTGAAAAATGATATCATCAAGAAGAGAGACTGGGTTGTGGAACCCAACCGTATATGAAAGGAAGCCAAGTTTTAATGAGCGCATACCTTGCCGCATCCACACCTCCTGACTACCATCTCTGGTGGGTGGTGGTATTGTCTTTCTTTTATAGATGAAACAAACCAAAAACCCCTGTGGCTCGGAGAGCTAAAGACATGTAGCTAGACAGAATTGAATTCTAAGACCGTGTAGTTTCCAAAAGAGATGGGTAGGGCAGACTTGGTTTTCTGGTTTGGGTTTGGACTGGGAAGGCTGGTGAAGCTTCAGAAAAGGGTTTTCAGAAAGGAAGCAGGTGGCAGGGCTTGGGGGAGGGAGCTCTGTGGCTGCCTCTTATAAACAGGTCTCTGCATAACTGCTGGGAAGGCTCTTAATTAAATGTGTAACAAAATAAAAACAGCCGGAGAGGAAACCTAAGTAGTGCTGCGTGACAGCGCACAGCTAATCGGTGTTCCTGGAACCTCTTGGCAGAGGCTCGTCATATGGCTCTCGTCAGAGCCATCACCTTTTTATGCGCCCGGTAAAGGCTGCAGATGAGCCTGACAAGGGTGGTGGTAAATTGACACTCACAACTTGTTAGTCTGTGGCTTACTTCTTATTTTGACATCCGTTTTCAGATTTAACTAAGTCTTAGGAATTCAGCAAACATTTTCATTTCACACTCTAGTTTCCGGAAGCCATAGTTCCTTCTCATTGCTGTCCTTACCTCCTCCTCCCCTTCTCTCCCCAGCAGCTTCACATCACTTTTGTTGGAAAGGGGCTGTTAAGTGGGGCACTGAGAAATGGGAACTGAAGTGGCAGCATAAATCCCACTGGAGAAAAGATATCTGCTCCCATCCTGACAAATCATTTTATGTCCATCTTTTGTCAAAGCCAGATGAGTTGATTCTCCAGGTGTACATGGGCTTTGGTGTGTAGTCACAGACCCTGCTAAGGTGAGTTGTTATTTAGTGGTATGGGTTTAATTTTCCTCTCAATGTTTTTGAAGAAACACCACTTGTTGCGGGTCTGGCTCTTGGTCAGCTTGCCTTCCCTGCCTGTCCGACTTTTTCTTCACCTTGCTTGGTGTTTCTTGAAGCTTCCCATTGGGTTTGGTGGTGTTTCTCTGCTTACCCAGGTAGAAAGTGCCTCTTTCAGAGGGCTCCATCTTTGGTATTGTGGTGGGGTTAGCGCTGGTGTAGACTGAGGAGGGACACATGCACAGGCACCCACTTGAGGAACTTAGATTTTAGCCTGTAGCTTGAAGATCCAGGTTCACCAGCCAAACAGCACAGCATGGCTGAGAAGCTAGACTAGAGGCTTTCCCAGTGGGCCCTGAGTCTGAGAAGAAGGAAGATTGAGAAGAGGGAAAGACTGGAGGGAAAGAGCTGACCTGAGGGAGGCCCTGGCCCTTAGTGCAGTCTAGGAAGAGTCCCCTTTAGAGAGGGTAGGAGAATCAGATGCTGTTCTCTGGTGGAATAGGGGCCAGGGGCCTGCTCAGAGTCTGGTGAGAAGACCCTCACTTAGGCTCAGCCTCAGTTTTGGAGCAGGAAGTTTTCCTCCCCCTGGAGGGAGAAGGGAGGTTGAACACATAAATGCAGGCATTTGACTTCCTTTTTTCCCCCTGCCTTCTTGCTGGGGTGTGCATACTACATTCTGGCTGTGCTCTACTGGTGTGGACCTGGAGTTCACTTCAGGTTTTAGGAGGTCTGGAGATGGAAAGATACTTGCCCAGATTACACTGTCACTGTTGGAGATGGGGAGCATGCACTCAGCAGGGGCTACTGAGGTTTCCTCGAGGCTGCTGTCAAGCGGTCAAGACCACTGAAGAGACTGCTGTTACCTGGAGTGAAAGGTGCCATGATGGAACCACACACCTGGGTGAGCACTGTGGGGTCGTGACTGTCCTGTGGGAATGTAGAAGATGGCTAGAAGGGGGCCTAGTGACATGCTTGCTGCGGGTTGGGCTGGGTCCTCTTGGCATTGCTCAACAGCTGACTACTGCAATCTTCTTGAAATCATCTTTATCTGTACTTTTGTTATGTTTTCTGTTTCTCTGGCTTCTCCTCCTCAGTCACTTGGGTAGATATTAATACTTCTTTTCTTCCTTTTTTTCATGTTGGTGTTTCTTAAATAGTGGTGTTTCTTTGATTTCTATCCTGGTTGTCTTTTCTGTTTATTCTACACATTCACACTTATCAGTGATCTCATCTTTTGCCATAGCTTCAACTATCCTCTGTACGCTGATGTCTTCTAATGTTTTTCTCCAACTGGAGAAAAGAAATCGGCTTAATCTGCCACCTAAACGCCACACCTGCATATCCAGCTACCTAGTCTACATGTCCACCTAGTTGTCCACAGGCCCCTTCAAGCTCAGATGTTTATCTTTTTCCTCACACCCTGTCCTCCATCATTCCCTCAAATAATGACTGGCACCATCTACTGAGTTGTTCTGTTGGAAATCTGAAAATTATCCCTTCTCTATCCACACCAGTTAATTGCCAAATTCTGTTGATTCTGCCTCCCAGAGGTTCTCAGATTTATTCCTTTCTTCCCATCCCTACTGCCCTGCCCAGTCAAGATGATCATATTCTTCTTGGATTGCTACAAAAGTCTTCTAACTCTAGTCCCTTTTGACTCCAGTTTTGCTGCTTCTATTCCATTCTCCTAATTGCAGCAGATTATGTCACCCCTTGGCTTAATACCCTTCAAGGTTTGCCCTTGCCCTCAAGGGTAAAGTCCACACCATTTATTGGGACTTTCAAGGTTCTTGCTTACATCTTTAGCCTCACTTCTCGATATTCTGTGTGCCACCCCTGCACCCCTCCCCACCAGCCACATGCACAAGCTGGCCGGTTCCTGGTGATCCCTCTTCTTTCTCTAGGTGCCTTCCTTTGTTTTCCTGGAGCACATGTACACATTAATACATAAAATGATGCTGTGGCTGCCTCTACTTGTCTGTCTCTTGCACTACATTGTGAGCACTGTTGTAACCCTAGGACAAGGACAAGACTTGACATGTAGTAGTTGTTCAATAAATAATTGTTGAATAAGTGACAACTAAGTAATGGAATGTTCCTGTGGAATCTCTGCTCACGAAGAACGACAGAGGACTGTTAGTAGGTAGATTCAGGAAGCATTCATTGCCAGTGTACAGGACAAATGGACTAGAGGAGCAATTCTTAGGCCTTGCTACACCAGCCTGAATGT